AAGCAGCGCCTTCCATTGTTCTTCATCATGGTGTCAATCTTTGCTATCAGATCACTGACTTGTTTTTTATTTTGTTTGTCATTGTTATTGAACACATGGTATCTTCCTCCACAATCAGAGATCAGCTTCTTAAAGGAAGGATCACAGTTGTTTTTGATGTAGTCCTCTGAGGACAATCTGCTATGCTCCAGTTCATCACCTCTGGTTAAAAGAACAATGGTGAACTTTTCAGAATTCTTCCCAAAGAATTGCTTGATGAGTTTCAGTGTCTCCCTCTCCTCTGCTGTGAATCTGCCGATATGAATCACCAACAGGAAAACATGTGGTCCTGGAGCCAAAAGACTGACACATTTCACCAGCTCTTCTAGAACCTCCTCATTGGACAAACTTGTGTCAAACAGACCAGGAGTGTCGACCACAAGAACGGGATGACCGTCCACCTCACCGTGTACTTTCTGACATTGTTGTGTAACTGATATTTGACTTGATTCAGCTTTAAACTCATCTCTTCCTAGAATTGTGTTTCCTGTAGAGCTCTTTCCACAGCCAGTCTTTCCTATCAGCACAATCCTGAGACAGTCTGAGTCCTGTTCTCCAACTTCACCACCTAAAACATGAAAACAGTTGCATTTAACTTAAGGAGTTATATCACGACTCAGTGGGTCATTGGAAAATATAACATCTACTTACCAGTGACAAGTTTTAAGACTTTCTCCATTTGTGCGTGTAAAAATGTTGTAGTTGTATAACAACACAGTTGTCCTGTAGGCTGACTAATTTTATCCACAATCTTAAACATCTCTGTGATCTGCTGTTTGTTCTTGATGTTGAGAACAACAGATCTTCCTCCACAGCTCTCACGGAGCTCCTGCATGTCCTTGTCTTCCATTATAAAGTTACCAGCAGCTGGATCTGTCGGATCTGACTTGACAGTGAACAGAATCATGGTGAAGTCATTGACTCGAGAGCCGAATGCATCCTGGATGGTCTCTAGCTCTCCCTTGTCTTCATCAGTGATGGCAGCTGCAGGTAGGACCAGGATGAAGGCATGGACACCCTCAGGATCACAGAGGGAGATACACCTGAGTGATTCCTCCATCACTGCCTCCTGAGGTTTTCCATACAAGGCAGGCAGCTCCACCAGGGAAACCCAACGTCCACACACCTCTCCCTGATGTTTAACACACTCTGATGAGACTGAATGAAGCTCAGTCTGACCTAAAATGGCCTTGGCTGCTGACGTCTTCCCTGCTCCTCTCCTCCCACACAGAACCAGGTTCACACTGGACTTCAGATTAGGTTTAGCCTCCTCTTTTAACATTAGATATTTTCCCCAGTTTTTACTCACTATCTCATTCATTTCTTCCATCAACTCTGAGGAATCTGAGAAGGAGTCTTTCCTGTCAAAATTAACAAAGTGCTGCCTTTGTTTGGATTCTTCAATGAGTTTATCCACTGAGTCATTCCCTTCCTCATTATGCGTTCGGATGACGATGGAGTGATTAAAAGCATCTTGACCAAACAAGCTCAGGACCAAGTTCAGAGTCTGTCTGTTCTCCTCAGTGAAATCAGAAGGTTTCACTAACAGCAGCAGAACATTTGGTCCAGGAGGACAGAGACTCACACAGCTCTTCATCACTTTAAACAGCTCATCCACAGATAGACTGAAGATGTTGGGAGTTTTTACAACTGTGGGAGGTTTCCTGTTCCTCTCTCCAGAAGCAGAACCAGATTGCTTTCCTCCAAAACCTTTAGACTCTTTTTTCCCAACGAGGAGCTTTTCCAGGGCTGATTTCTTCTTCTCACTTTTTCCAAACAGCATTATCCTGAGTTCACGTGCTGAAATTAGAAAAAAGTTATTTTACCTCAAACATTATAAAACACATATTTACGTCACATTCCATTACATAGTTTGTAATTGTTAATCATATCACTTGAGAAATAATAATTTACAACTTTGTCTTAAAACAGGTTGCTGAGTGATAGCGGCAGCTGGCAGGTACACTTTCAAATATGGTTTCTTGATGACGGGCCGGGCTAAGTTTGAACAGCCATGTCAGCTCTCTATTAAGGAGGATAAGCTTCTGGGCAGGTTTTAAAGGCACTAGCCTGATATTGTTGGGCAGAAGTGGCAAAGGTGCAAACTTTCTTTACTTAAGTAGAAGTAATGAAGCAACTTCTTTACTCAAGTAAAAGTCCAAAAGTACAGGCTCTGAAATGTGCTCAGTGTAAGAAAGTAAAAAGTAACTTGTTGAAGAACATTTCTATGAACAATTTTCATACAAAGGTAACTGAACCTTGTACTATACTAATATAACAATGAAATAATGTTAGTGCATAAATCTAAATTCTAATGAATGTACTCAGTTTGAATCTGTTATCTCGGATGTGTATATGTATATGTAGGACACCTGCATTGAATGATAGCTTTAAAAAAATAACTATTTTCTGTTGCCTGTTGTAAATGGTAACAGTGAAATGAGTACAGTCAAGGGTTATAGTGGGCGGGTTGGAAACCCTAAGAGGGAAAAATATCGCAACTCACAAAAATCTTTTTATATGAGCTTCAGTAGATTTTCTTGACTGATGTCTATCCTCTACACTGATACTAAACTGTTTATACTGTCTTTACACTAGACAGTATAGAGTTGGGATAAAGTTGGAATTTAGTTAATGAATCATCAGCTTAAATGCAAATTATGAGCACTCTGATCATGAGCACATCAGCCACTGTGCACCAGTCCAACACAATACTTTAGTGTGTGCTGGCAGCTAACCTGTTTACAATGGCAGTACCTCTGGATTGGCAGCCCGGGCTGGTGGTTCCCATCTTTAAGAAGGGGGACCAGCGGGTGTGCTCCAAGTACAGGGGGCACACACACCTCACCCCGGGAAAGTGTATGCCAGGGTGCTAGAAAGGAGAGTCCTTTCATTAGTCTGACCTTGAATACAGGAGGAACAATGTGGTTTTTGTCCTGGTCTTGGAACACTGGACCAGCTCTTTACCCTCTAGAGGACACTTCAGGGAGTTTGCAAAACCAGTCTAGATGTGTTTTGTGAACATGGAGTATGGGCAGTATTGGGGTGGCTGGTCCATTGCTACAGGTCATTTGATCCTTATACAACCACTGCAAGCGCTCAGGGTGCATAGTTGGCAATAAGTCGGACTTGTTCCCAGTGGGTGTTGGACTCTACTAGGGCTGTGTTTTGTTACACATTCTGTTTATAACACATTCTGTTTATGGACAGAATTTCTAGTTGTAGCCAAGTGGTGGAAGGCTTCCACTTGGGTGGTCTCATAATCTAATCTCTGCTTTTCACAAATGATGTAGTTCTGTTGGCAACAACAGGTGACGTCTGACACCTTGCACGAGATCGCAGGTACAAGCGGCGGAAATTGGCTTCCTTCATAGTAGAGCTTCTCCTCCACATCTAAAGGAGCCAGTTGAGGTGGTACGGCTATCTGATATGGATGCCTCCTGGGCGCCTGCTGCTTGTGGTGTTCTAAGCATGTCCCACCTGGAGGAAACCTCGGGGCAGACCCAGGACACACTGGAGAGATTATATCTCTCGGCTGGCTTGAGAAGGCCTTGGTGTTCCCCCAGACAAGCCGTAGGAGATGGCCAAGGAGAGGGAGGTCTGCTCCTCTCTGGTTAGGCTGCAGCCCCTGGAGGTTAATCAAGTGTCCTTGACCAGTCCTGACCTTTAACTCTAGCCTCTCTTCTCCATCTCCTGTCCTGTCGGTAATTCTACATCTTGTTCCCTCTCTGAGTGAACTCATCTTGTACTCTTTCTTCCCATTTCACTGCAGGGCAACCTGCATGTGGCGAATAAAGCCTTGATTGATTGATTGATTTAAATGCAATGCCGTGTTTTCTCAGTATAGAACCAAGAGGAAGCAGTATAAAGATAAGAGGAGGGGGCCTAGAACTGAGCCCTGTGGGACACCACACAAGAGAGGAGCGGAGGACGACACGTGGTCACAGAGACTGACACAGAAAGTTTGCCCCGCCAAGTAGGACCTGAACCACTCCAGTGCCGTGCCCCTAAAACCCACCCAAAACCTTTAAAAGGGCTGATTCAGAGCTATGAAAGGATTTAAAACCAGATTGGAAAACCTCTAAAACATTTTGCTTTTCCAGGAAGGTCATTAATTGGCTGTGAACCATCTTTTCAAGAACTTTGGAAAGAAAATGTAATTTGGAGATAGGCCTGTAATTTGCAAGAACTGTAGGATCAAGAGCAGGGTTTTTAATCAGGGGTTTGACTACTGCATGTTGAAAATCTTTAGGGACAACACCTGACATCAAACTGGTTTACCAGCTCAAGAACCAAAGGTCCAACTGTAGGTAACACCTCTTCTAAGAGTCGAGGAGGGACAGCATCATTTGGAGACCCTGCAGGCTTAAAACAACCAACAGTCTTCTTTAAAGTGACTGAGAGGTCACGAGCACAAGGAGACACGTGAGCCCTGGTGGAGGAGACCTCAATAAAAAGGGGAAAAAAATTTCACAGGCTGCAGACGAGGGCTCGATACATTCAGTATGTGGTGCACCAAGAACAGAGTTAATAGTTTTAAATAAAACAAGCGGGTTGTGACAGTTTGACAGAATAATGTCAGGTAAGTGTTTTCTGACAGCTCGGGTTGTGCTGTTCAGCCAGGACTTAGATTTAGTTTTAGGCAGTCTGGTTTTTAATGGAGCCACAGTGTCCAAAGCAGTCCGACAAGTGGAATAAAACCATGAGCTCAGGTTCTCAGTCTGTGTGCATGAACACTCCGGGATTTTAAAGTTTTAGTTAAAAACTGTTGAAAACTGCTCAGCAGTGGGGGAGTTAAACATGCAACAGCGCTGAGCAGCAGTGCGATGTTTGACCCAACATCCGCGGGGAATTAAAATAGCAGCAATATTTAACGTATTGTATTGTTAAATAGTCTAGTCTGTTTCTGTTACTGTACTGGAGCAACTGTAACCCACATAATTTCCTTAGAGATTAATAAAGTATGCTGATTCTGCTGATTCTGATTAAGAAAGAAAGAAAGTGTACTTTATTGAT